GAGAAATCAGTGAGGTCTGTAAAAGTAAGAAAAGGTTTTAAAATAAATATTGAATTTGTATGTGGTGAAGGAGAACAAAAAGAACATTCTAAAAACACAAAAGGCATAGAAGCAGGAATGAGCCTTAGCACATTCCTGGAACAAAGAATCGAGCAGTTTAATTAGAAAGGGGGTGCATTGTGAGAACACTGGACGGGTACACAAGACTGTCAGGAAACCGACATGCCCAAAGCCAAGGACAGAACTTGGAATGGCAGAGGTTCGTGAAAATTTGTCATTAAAGGAAGGATATAAAATAGTTGCTTCAGTTTTTCCCAGTGCACGGTTCTTAAAAATCCAACATGCTTTCCATATTTATAGTTAACTCATTATTTCATTTGGGGATGTCAACTGGAAAATCGGAGGCAAAGTCAAGTCTTCCTGTGACAAAACAGCTTCTTCATTATTTTTCCTATAAAGGCTAAACAGATGGAAAAGCAGTTTGAAGCAGGGAGTGTCTTAATTAGCTGCTCAAGGGACCAAAGCCTTCTGTGTGACTCATGTGAGTCACTTAAAATCAAGCCACCCAGAGGATGTCCTGAATTACCCAAGATGCCATCTGGAAATTAACTGAGCAATGTTTGGTCAGAACCAGGACTCTTCCCAGAAGATTAACCTTTTGTTGTTTTATTCTGGTCTAACGGTTCCCTAGTGACCATTAGAAGAAATAATTTTGGAGATGGTAGAGAACCACAGAAATCACATAACTCAGCATCCCCTCACTTTATAAAGAAGGTTGGCACTGGGCACTTGGTGGACTCTGGGTCCAGAGACCTTCATGGCACCTTCATGTCTCTCCTTTTTGAGAAAAACAACCAGCCCATGTTGCTGTTACATGAAGCAGAAGACTTTTAGACAAGGCACCTCCCTGGGGACTGTATTTGCCACCTGGGTGACACAGTTTTACGCCTCTATAGACAGAGGGTGGCATCAGCTCTGAATTGCCTGTTTGTGGTAATACATTCTACTGAGCAACGTTTCATTACGATTAGAGGAGAGGAAACATAAAATGCAATTATCACTTCTATGTTAAGAAAAAAACCCTATTCTATGTTATACGAAAACAATGAATTGTGGATCACTACATCAAAATCTAATGATGTATTGTATGGTGACTAACATAATAAAATAAAATTAAAAAAAAAGAAAAATTAAAAAAAAGAGAAGACTGTAAAACAAAACAAAACAAAACAAAACAAAACAAAAAACCCTACTCTATACACCTCCTAACAAAAAATAAACCACAATGGCTAGAGTCGGGACAAAGGAGACAGACACATATGTAACTAGCCCTCAGTGAGGTAACAACGCTCAGCACCATACTGGTTGACTATATTTTCTATGTTCTTGATGCTCTGGCATTTGGGGCCTTGCTCCTGGAGAGACTGTCCCTCCCAGGGCAAGCTAATGCCTAGAGACAGCAAACTACTCCTGCGTGAGCCCACCTTTGACACACAACCCACCCGTCCAGAGCCCACACTCCCAGCCACCTCCTTTGTCAAGCTCTCATACACCAAGCCAAGATTCCCCTTTCCCCAAGTCACCCCAGGGCCAGATCCCAGACAACCAGAGACCAGCATGGGGCCTCCTGTTCCTAGGGACCTGTGAGTATAAACTCCTTTCTTCGTGATGATCAGTTCCAGGTCTCCATGTCTCACCATATCTGCTTATAACAAACCCCAGGTACAAATTTTAGACTACCAGCTATGAAGAAGATGCCAAGACATGCTCCTGCCACTGAGAGGTTAAATGATGACAGTGAAAATCAGGCCACTATCTGTTAAGGACCATGGATACTCAGATACAAAGATACCCCCTGATTTTTAAAATACAAATTTTCTTTGCGTATGTGTTTGCCAGAGAGTGTCATAAAAAGGGTATCTAATTAATTCAAAAGAAAATCAGGCAAATCTCTGTGGTTCATGAGCTGGCAGTGATACAAAAGGAACAGCTATTGCTGTCCACATTCTATTCATTACTTAGAGAACATCCAGAGACCTTCAAATTAGCATGGCCAACTAGAGCAGAAACTATAAGGAGACTCACAGGATAAACTGAGGCTACAGAGGCTGACCACAGTCAGATCACACAGGGCCTTAGGTGTCCTTGCAGTTTATCCTATAGGTAACATGAAGTCACCACAGACATTTGCAAAAGAGAATGATGCATCAGGTCTACTGCTGGGAAGAGCATTCCGGTACCCATTGGATGTACTAAAGTTCATGGTAAAAAGGCATAATGCGTGTTAAAGTAAGACTTTTAAAATTCTTAGAGATTTCTAAGAAAATCTCAGTGATTATATAAATATTGAAAGTCTAAGGGTCAAGAAAATCTTTGAAACCAAAAATGAAAATTCAAAGGCTATAAAGAAAAGATAAACTTATTTATTACCAAGGCACTTAAAACTTCTACATGGAAAACATACCATAAACAAAGTTAATCGACAAATGACACATTTGAGGGGGGAATTCTTCCAATTTGGAAGACAGAGATCTCTATTATTATTACAAAGATCTCTAACATACTGACCACTGGGGGATAAAAGACACAATAGAAAGATGGGTACAGGACACACACATGCACACGCGTGCACACACACACACACACAATTCACAGAAGAACCACTCTAAATGGCCAATAAATGTATGGGGAAAAAAGTCTAAATTCATAAGTAGTCAGGCAAATGCTAGTTAAAGGAACAATGAGATAGCACTTTATATCTAAGAGACTGACAAGCCAAAAAGAGTGATTATATGTTTGCTGGCAGAAATGTGCATATTTACCATCGCTCATAGAAATGGAATTAATACAGATAGTATTAAGAGAAATAGTATTCAAAAGCAGTCTGACATCTATCAAAATGTAAAACGTCCATGCACTTTGATCCAGCAATCTTTCTATTGAAAATCTAGGCCATAGACTAAAAAGCACCCACATAACAGAATGATCAGAAAAATTTTTTTGCAGCATTTTTTACAGAGGCCAAAAAACTGGAGACAAATTGAAAGCTCATCCAATTTATTAAGCACAATGCTTAATAAATTACGGTGTGCCAACAACGTGGAATTTTTTTCACCATCTAAAAGAATGGATACACCGTTAGGCCAAATGACATACTGTTGATTGAAAATAATAAGAAATGGGAAAAGAGACCAGTATTTGACAAGGCAGTGCGTGTGTAAAGAGTGCACGCAGAAGCCAGATGTGGGGCTCAAATCCTGGTTCTGTCACCTCTTCCCAAACATGTAGTCTTGGGTGAGTTAGTCAATCCCTCTGAGCCTCTGCTTTCTCCTCTGTAACGCCTCAAAGAATTGTACAACGTGACACACTTAGAATAATGCCAGGCCCACAGCAAGCCCTCAGCCAGCCTTAGCTGTCATTATATGATCCCCCTGTTTGAAAGCGAGGATCAGTAATCTCATATATGCAAATGTCTCTATTTCCGCCATCTTCTTGCGGCATGTTCTTTTTCTCAGTGGTACCTGTCATCTCCTCCGTTACTAATACACTTATCATTTGTTTATTCACTTTGTCTTCTTTGCCTATCTCTGCCCCACTTTAAAATTCAAGGTCTATGAAAGATAGGGTCTTTGGTCTGTCTTGTTCATTGCTGTATTCCCAATGCCTATGATGCAGGGTAAATAGTAAGCATTCAAAAAAAGAAAGATCAGCTGGAATAGATGCACGCATGAGTGAATGAATATGTGTACAGGTCCTGCCAGGAGACTATTCTCCAGGAGCCCCTGGTATTTCTGCACATTTTTCGAGCAGAGGCACTAGCTCCCTTTGTTCTGAATTGTCTTTTCAAGGATGTTTGGATGGTGAACAGCTCTGGAAGAGTGAGGTGGGATCTCCCTCCACAGCAAAGGGGAAGCTGGTTTAATATCTAGAATAATAAAGAGAACGTGCCCGTCCAGGGACAAAGATCAAGCAGGCTTGGTCCTCATAAGAGTCAGGTTCCCTCCGCGCAGAGCTCCTCTCCTGTGTCGGTGTCTCCAGGCGCCCTCCGTATGACCATATGGGAACAGGACGGGGCCCAGGAATGGTACAAACACTGACACTCTGGCACTGCTATTCTGTGAGCAATAATCGCCCTCTGTCTCTGACCCAGGAGTCTCCTGCATTCTGCTGGCATGCATGCAATGGCAACAAACCCACAATCCTTGGCTTGCAAGCTGGGGAAAATCCAGACTCTTCACAATTCTTGACATGTTTATGTTTGTCTACGTCTGTCTACGACTATGTGAATGTGGGAAAAAACGTGAAAGAATGATTATGAGGTTAACAAACTTGGGAGGATCAGGAGAAGGAAGGGGGAGGGGGAAGCCAAGCAGGGAATAACAAGAACACAACATCCCAGCCCGACAATGATGGTAATGATTGTGCCATGGGTCATGGTGAAGCTAGAACTGACTCAGACACCGCCCCGGTGTAGAGAGGCCCTGGAGGGACGCCTACCTCCTAAAGAACTGCTGCTGAATCCATATCTCGGAATGGAGATTGGTTCAAATAAGCTCTTCAAGTTCCTGAACACTTGCCCAAATTCCAATCCGATAGCCTCCAACACGCACTGAGAGCCTCGCTCAACTCCATTCCATGAAGCTGTAAGCTACCAATGTGAATTCTTTGCTTGCTTTAGTTGTTTACTTCACTACAAGGCCTTTATTTCTTGTGTAAGAATGCCATAAAAAGTACAGGTTAGTTTAAGTTTTTTATTTTTTTGAAACTCTTTGAAACTCCATCCTTTGTCCTTAGAGCCCTACGGAAATAATCAGGTCTCTTTCCAGACAGAAAAGTCCACTTCAAGAAAGCCTTATAAAAGCTACACTGTTTAATGTCAGCATTCTTCCGCAAGCAACTTTACAAGCTTTGGAGGAGCTGCAAGCCAAGCTAGGGCCTGATTCAAAATACACAGAGTAGCGAGGGAACAGACGTTGAAGATGCCCCCAGAACATACATACCAGCCTTTGCAACAGTCGGGCTTGCCTTGGCAACCTGCGTCCAACCTATAAGAAGAAAAGAGTCATGAAATATGATTGTGAGGTCATTCTGAAATGCATTACATGAGGGGGGTTAAAATCGATTCAAATTCACAGAAGAGACGGTCCATCCTGAAAAGTAGATTGGACCTTCGATGAAGGAGCTGCTGGGCCAGAGCGAGAACCCACCCCCTCAGCCCGGGTTGACTGCTTCAGCCGTGATGGCATTACCTCATCACCTGCGTGTTCTTCTGTCTGTTAGAGGAGTATGAAATGACAAGAGCAAAGAATTCATCAGAATATCCGCACTCCATTTTATCCTATTTCTGGCTTCAAAAGAAGCTCTTTGCTATTGTGTCTATTACAATGAGTAAATGTATTCAGTTCTTCTCTGAGGGGCTCAACTATTCAACTCAAAACTTCAGGAAACTGCAAGCAAAACTGAACTTACCTTGAATTTTCTCACTGTGTTTTTTCTGGTTATTTAACCATACTTTCCCACACGGGGAGTAGGGGCATGGGAAGGTGATAAAAATCCTCATTTAAAGAAAACTTGTATTATGGGAGGATGGGTTAGCCGGGTGATGGGTATTAAAGAGGGCACGTTCTGCATGGAGCACTGGGTGTTATGCACAAACAATGAATCATGGAACACTGCATCAAAAACTAATGATGTAATGTATGGTGATTAACATAACAATAAAAAATTAAAAAAAAAAAGAAAACTTGTATTAATTAATCAGCCACTCTGGACTAATTTAAAAGTCCTAGCTGGTTGTTGAACATTATTCATGGCAAATCACTGTTCAAATAAAGTGTTAACTACTATTGCTGTGAGTAATGAATCATCCTTTCTGGAGGGCAATTTGATAATGTTGATTGAAAACTTGAAAAATATGCTTGGATTTTAGGTGTATCTTTTTTTTTAACAGCTCAAGGATGTGTAACTTACAAACAATACAATTCATTCACTTAAAGTGCACAAGTCAATGTTTTTTAGCATATTCACAGAGTTGTGCACCCATCACCACCATCAATTTAGAACATTTTTATTATGTCAAAAAGAAACCATGCACCCCTTACCTGTCACCTCCCAACCAATAATCTACTTTGTCCCTGTGGATTTGCCCATTCTGGACATTTCAAAGGAATGGAATCATACAATATATAGTCTTTTATGACTGGCTTTTTTCACTTAACATAACCTTTTCAAGGTCATCCCTGTTGTAGCATTTATCAATACTTCATTCCTTTTCATGTCTAAGTAATATTCCATTGTATGGATATGACACATTTTGTTTATCCATTCACCAGGCGACATTCAGGTTTTTTCCAGTTTTGGGCTATTACAAATAACGTGAACTTTTATAAACATTCACATGCAAGTCTTTGTGTTGGACGTAAACATCCAGGAGTAGAATGCCCAGGTCATATGGTAAATTTAAGTTTCCCTTTTTTTTTTTTTTTTAAAGATTTTATTTATTTATTTGAAAGAATGAGAGAGAGAGAGCACATGAGAGGGGGGAGGGTCAGAGGGAGAAGCAGACCCCCTGCTGAGCAAGGAGCCCGATATGGGACTCGATCCTGGGACTCCAGGATCATGACCTGAGCCGAAGGCAGTCGCTTAACCAACTGAGCCACCCAGGCGCCCTAAGTTTCACTTTTTAAGAAATTGCCAAACTGTTTTCCAAAGTGGCTGCAACATTTTTCCATTCCCATCAGTATGCATATCTTTTAATTTAGAAATTCTACTTACAGAAAAGTACCATAAGAGGAAAAAAAATAAGAAAAAATTTTGCAACTTTTATAACAATTGTTAATAATTAGAAATAGCCTAAAATTTCTTTAAAAAAAGGTCTGGTTCAGTATATTATTCAGTATATTCAGTATATTATGGTACATAGATTAATTATATGGCTATAGAAAATAATGATGTGTGGGGTGCCTGGGTGGCTCAGTCATTAAGCGTCTGCCTTCAGCTCAGGTCATGATCCCAGGTCCTGGGATCGAGCCCCGCGTCGGGCTCCCTGCTTGGCAGGAAGCCTGCTTTTCCCTCTCCCACTCCCCCTGCTTGTGTTCCCTCTCTCGCTGTGTCTCTCTCTGTCAAATAAATAAATAAAATCTTTAAAAAAAAATAAAACAATTGTTAATAATTAGAAATAGCCTAAAATATCTTTAAAAAAAGGTCTGGTTCAGTATATTATTCAGTATATTCAGCATATTATGATACATGGATTAATTACACGGCTATAGAAAATAATGATGTGTGGGGTGCCTGGGTGGCTCAGTCAGTTAAGCGGCTCTTGGTTTTGGCTCAGGTCATGATTTCATGGTCATGACATCGAGCCCCACATCAGGCTCCTCGCTCAGCCCAGAGTCTGCTTGGGATTCTCTCTCCCTCACCCTCTGCCCCTCCTGCTCGAGCTCTCTCTCTCTCAAATAAATAATCTTTTTAAAAAAGAAAAGAATGGCGTGCATCTATATTTACTGGCATCAATAAATGTTCACTTTACTGGACTTCAGTGCTGTCCACCAAACATTTCTCTGGCTGTCTGCCAGAAGGGTTGCATTTTCTGGGACCATTGCAAAGGCAGGGGGCCATGCAACTAGCTCCAGCCAATAACTTAGGGATATAAGTAGCATTCGTCACTTCCGGGTCAAGTGATTTAATTACAGACGTACGATCCTACAGAACTGCTTTTGCTTTCTGGCACAGTAATTAGCAATGTTTGAACTGGTAGCTGCTCATCAAGCCCGACTTCCCAAGTGACCACCACCAATCCACGATGGACAGGTTGTGTAAGCAAGACATAAATGTGTGGTATTTAAGACACTGAGATTTTGAAGACATTGTTACCACAGGATAACCTAGCCTATCCTGATTAATATATCCATGACACATTTTAAGTGACTAAATCTGGTAATAAAATATTATAGAAGGGAAAAATGAAGGGGGGGAATCAGAGGGGGAGATGAACCATGAGAGACTATGGACTCTGAGAAACAAACTGAGGGTTCTAGAGGGGAGGGGGGTGGGAGGATGGGTTAGCCCAGTGATGGGTATTAAAGAGGGCACGTTCTGCATGGAGCACTGGGTGTTATACGAAAACAGTGGATCATGGAACACTACATCAAAAACTAATGATGTAATGTATGGTGACTAACATAACATAATAAAATAAAATTTTAAAAAATTGTATTTCACATGATCTAATTTTCATAAGTGTAAGTGTTTCTATGTGTAGAATGTGCAGCACAGTGCTAAGGGCTGCTACCTTTGGGTGGTTGAATTATTTTTCTTTAAACTTTCCTGTATTATCTCAGTTTTTCACAAATTAACATGCTTTACTTCCATAACAGAAAAAAACAATAAAGATATTTCTGTTTGGTAAACTAAAGTCATAACAGTAATGTTTTAATCCCTATCCTCCTTTGATCTCCCCTGAAAAAAAAAATATAGATACTATTGTAAATTATCATTATAAGCCATTACAGAGCCTCCTATTCTATAGAACACGGAACAGGAGAAACAGTACAGGATTTAGGTTGACACCCACCACCCTGAGTACAAATGAGAACCAAACAATTAGTAGGATGATACTGGTTTCTCTCTCTAAAATGAGGTTTTATATCTGAGACACTGTCCACGGAAAGCCAGAATAAGCATTCTGGGCAAGGTCTTCACCAGCTCTGCAGGTTCATGTCAGGTCTTTCTCTTCCTCAAATTGTGGAATAGGCTGGGGACCGCTTAACATCTCAATGGTCAGAAGGAAAGCCCAACCTCTCTCAGGTATTATAATCTGTGATTGATCTCAAGTATTTTCTTTGAAGTTTCGTCCTCTGTAAAATAGGTTTTCCAAGAAAATAAACAAGCTTTCAGGAGAACAAGAGAAGTTTGTTTTTCATTTTTGAGATGACTATCTGATGTCTCAGGGGATCACTATGGCAACGCTTCAGTCCAAGTTTAAAGGAGATTGAACCAGAATCAAAGCTTCCTGGTGGAGACAGACTCCTGGTGCCAGTGAGGATTGGAACTGGAAACGACACCAATGTCGTCATCGTTGTTTTTAGTTAGGAATTCCTGATCCCTTTTATGGTTCGAGTGTTTCCCAAAGCCTCATAAGAATTTGGGAGTGGGGTTTCAGGACAGATATGTAACTGACTCCAGCTCACTGTCAAGGGTGCCATGAGTAGTGATCTCAAGAGCTTGGAGTTCCAAATCATAGACTTAGGAGATGGCCCAAATAAGATTCTTTATTCTTCCTGAGCTGGGCTTATTCAGCATTGGAACAGAAGATGTCCAGGCCACAATATTTATTGAGAAACATAAGCCAGGATCCTTGCCATCAAGGACCATACTATATAAGTTGAAAGAAAGAAAAGTACTCATGAAAGCTTAATAGAGAGGGTGGTTTTTGTAAGTTACAAAGGAAATGGAAAAAAGTAGAGTTTGCTATGCCCCTGAGTGACCATGAGAGGCTCTACGCTAGAGGTGTGATTGAACCAGTCGTGCAGGCATTTGTTGGAGTGGGACAAAAGGGCAGGAAAAACTGATGGAGCATCAGGTTCAATACAGGAACTATGCTGAGAAATAGCTTCAGAGACCTACCACCGCCTCTCAAACTCGTATGGACCAAGCAGCACTCACTACCAGGAGTGAGAGGGTTAGTGAAGATTTCCTTTGCACAAAAAGTGTAGCAATAACACTGTCGGGGCTGTGGAGTCTAGAATCCCCCATCTATGTTATCATTTAGTCCACCTATAGGTAAAAGATAGCAGGCATTGCGTAAATATTCATAATTTGAGTAATATGGACTGTATTTTCCCCCCAGATTTATCACAGTGTTGGATCAGTATTAGAAGAAAGAGAAATACCCTTAGAGCTTTCCAAAAGGTCCATAAATGGGAAAGAGCATGGGAAGAGAGGAAAACAGCGAAACCTAATTCTAACCTGGGTGAAAGATACTCAGAATATGCAGAACATAGACATTCCCTTTTGGCATGGATGCTGTAATGACCCAGGTTGACTGAACAGAAATGTCTGGGTTCCATAACAGATCCAAGGGATGCTGCATTTGGGCCAACCTCAGCCACACCCTCATCAAGGGACAGAAGGGGAGAGTTCCTACAGGGCTCTGTACTAGGAACCTACTTATCATTTGGCCCCTGTCCACTGAGGGTGTTCTGATCCTGAAACCAAGAGCCAGGAACTCAGGAGTCTGGGCCTCAGAGATGTGCTAGAGGGCCTGACACAAAACCACAGGTTGGAAAAGCACTAGAGTCGCAGTCCGTCACCTGGGCTGAGAACAATTCATCTGGGAAGATTCCTTCCTGTTTGGGTAATGACATGCTTCGCACAAAAGTTTTATTCCTTCAGAGTAATGTTGCTGCAGGATGTTCAGCTAGTCATAGCTGAACATCCTGCATTTGCAATTCAGGGGCACCCATAATCTCAGCCATGGAAGAAGAAGAAACTTCACTTTTGGGCTACAATTCCAAACAATTTCCAGGTAGTTTTTTAAAAAAAAAAAGGCAACTGGCCTTAGGCAAGTCACTGTTTCTTTTCTTCACCTGTGAAAAACAAGGGAAATGGACTTTGCCTCTAGGAAAATAAGGAGATTCAGGAATCCCGCCCCCCGCCCTCCGAAATGCTTAGGTCTCCTTCCCATGGCCCCATCTTCCTAAATGGAGCCAGCCATCTGGTCGTTAGCTACAGGGAGATAGCCGGGGTCTCCGACCGAAACCCTGACAATACCGGAGGCAAGACTGCTTTCGATGAGCATCCGAGGTGTGGGGGAGATTGCTGGGTAGGAAAATGAAGTCAAATACAATTCATGGATCCGGTTCTCAATACGTCCCTCTCCTCCCTCCCCCTTCCACTCAATGAAACAAGAGACAGCTGGTTTGGGAGTGAGTAAATCTCTGAACCCTCTCCCACAATATCCTCCTTCCCATTCATTTGAGGACTCCTTTTTAACAATCACACCCATGCCTCTAAAGGAGACAGTCCGGAGTGGTTTGGAGCTCACAAAATCTTTTAGTAACTTTACTTTTTAAAGAGTTAAGAACAAAAACAAAAACAAAAAATTGTCTCGATTCTTCATTTGTGTTTCCAAATGCAGAGGTTTGGTTCTGAGCGGCAGATTATAAAAAACGAAAACTCCAGAAATTCTCAATTCAGGGAATCAGAAATGTATCCCCACAATCGATGTGGTACCACAAGCATATACTGAACACTATCCATATGCCAGAAGTCGCAAATAAAAGTGGCATTGAAACAAATTCTATTACGTTATAAATATGAAAGTGGCTTGGTCTTTGGAGGAGTCCGTAAAGCCCAGCCTTGGCATTCAGCACACCTGGGTTCTAATCCAGGCTCTGCACGTGTCACTAGGGTCTGTCACTTCCCCTAGGGGGAATTCTGTGGTTCTCCTGGAAAGTAAGCACACTAAGACTTTCCTTGCAATGGTAGTCAGAGATTTAACCAGGCGGTCCATAAACAATAAAAATAGCTAATATTACTTTGGTGCTTACTGAATGCATGTACTCTGTGTGAATTAACCCACTTACTCTTCACAGCAACTGTAAGAGAAGAAGTGGGTTTATTATTATTATTTAGAAGCTAATAAAATGTAAGCTTCAGAATCCCTCACTTGCACAGTCCCTCAACAGTGGCTGATGTCTGTGATGTTTGTCAGCCTTTAAAAAGGTGGCATTTGTTGTGAACTGTTTATCACCTTAAACAAATGTTCACTTTAGCACCTAATTTTTGTGGTCATAATTTGATACTCTTTTTCTTCAAGAGGGCCCTGCCAATTACATAAACTTGACTTGCCTCTAAAAACCTAGATCCACCCTTGCCAATGAGAGTAACAGTTCTATCTTGCAGATGATGAAACTGAGACCCAGAGAGGTTAAGTTACTTGCCCAGGTACACACAGCCAGTTAGTGCTGGGATGCAGATTTGAACCTAGACAGTCTGGCTCCACTTGGAGTGCTCTTCACCATATCCTTTATTGCTTCTTATTATTTTTACATAGAGCCACTAGCAAACTCTGTGGGACATTAGGAACACTCAATAATTAGTGGCTATCGTTATTTTGTAAATTAGAAACTGCTTTCATAGTAATAGGAATACAGCCCTATCCTGATTTAAGGAAACAATATCAATTTGAAATTTAGGAAACAGATAAATCTGTAACAGGCTGATTTTATACAAGAGACTTCCTTTTTAATATTAATTTCCTGAAAGATTCTTTTAAAGTAATAATACTCTACATGTGGTTGGTGGATCATCTGTATCAGAATCACCTGGGCCCCACCCCAAACCAAATGGATCTAAACTGAAGGGAGTGGGGTGGGGGCTGAGGAGTCTGCATTTTTTTAAAGATTTTATTTATTTATCTGACAGAGGGAGAGAGAGCACAAGGCAGGCAGAGAGGGAGAAGCAGGCTTCCCGCTGAGCAGGGAGCCCGATGCAGGCTCGATCACAGGACCCTGGGATCATAACCCAAGCTGAAGGCAGACGCTTAACTTACTGAGCCACCCAGGGCTCCGAGTCTGCATATTTGATGAGCGCCCTGAGTGTCCTTTTGCATACCAAAGTTTGAAGACCACTGCTGAGAGCAGTCCCTTCCTCTGGGTAATATTTACAAATGGGGTGGAGGGCCAGAGGTGATGAAGGAACTTGAATTTAAGGTGTTATTAGTAATATTGCCAGTTGAAGGTAAGCAACAAATAACAATTGCAATGCAAGCTAACAGGCATGTTCTTGGACATTAAAATTTACATAAAATTGACATACGCATTTACATTTATAAATTAAGTTTACATATAATTTTGAAGACCAAAATTATGGAGAATAAGCACTAACTCCATTGCTAGGTACTGTTTGAAGTTTCAATCTTCAAGATCCTTTTAATTAAGTAATTTCACCATCCCCATTCTAGAGATGAGTGAACAGAGACTCACAGATAATAAGGAACTCTCCAGGGAGTGCAGGGCCAGGATTTGGACCCAGGAAGTCTGGTTCTGGAGCCTGTGTTCTTAAATCCTACATCTCACACACACACACACACACACACACACACACACACACACGTTGTTACTTTTTTTTTTTTAATAGAGATAAAAAGGTAAAATTTGCAAATTTTCATAGAATTTCGTATCTTGGGAATTTCTGTCTGAGTCATTTTCAAGATGCATAAGTAGTGCTGTGGTTAGAAGGCAGCATGAAATCCCTAAAATGGGCCAAACGCATGTTATTCTATGCAGGAAAAGTTTAGTGTTAAGCCTACTTGCACTGGCAGATGTTGGAGCTTTAATCCCTCCTCCTAGCTCATAAACAGAATCCTTGTTTTGGTTCCTCCCACACTTTCCTCCCTCCGCCCCCCCCAAAACTTTCAAGCTCTTTACCCCAAATTCCTTCCCTCTGCGCTTCAGCAGCCCAAGCCTGATGGCAAGAGCTAACAGTAAGTGCGGACACTGTACCAAGCACTTTAGGAGTATTAACTCTTCAATCCTTAATACCCTATTATTTCCCACAGTTTACAGAATTGGAAATTGAAGCAACTAGTAACTTGCCCAGCATCCCAGAGCTGGACAGAACCAGGAATCAAACCCCGGCCGCCTGACACCAAGCCCATGCCCTTAGCCACTGACGAACACATCTAGCATTTATTGAGCGCCCACTGTATACCAGGTCCTTGACACAAACTAGCAGCTGGCTCCTTAAAGTATGCTCAAAAGGAGCTGTATTCCCTGCCATGACCAACCAGAAAGGAAGGCGAAGAGAAATTAAATAGCCTGTCTGGGCCACACAACTGTAAAGGGCAAAGTAAAGACTAGTCTTTCTTTCTGGATCCAAAGCGGGCACTTTCCCCCTTCCACCTCTCAGCCTCCTGGACTCTGTCCTGGTTATTCCTCCTGACGACCCTATAAGAGAAGTACCATTTCTTTCATTGTGCAGAAAGCACATCCATGGGCAGAGTCAACAAGAGAGTAACTGTCTTCCAGATCTGCTCTTCAGAGCAAGCTGCTAGAAAAGTATGTCTACTGATCTCTTGTTTCCATCCTGTGAAACATGCTTTAAGCTAAACAATTTTAAAATAATTTAAATGATACATGTGGAAACAGCACCAGGAGATGTAGATAAGCACTGCCTACTTTAATTGGGACACAGCCATTTCCCCCATAAGGTCTCTACATTGATATTTTTGTCAATTCGTTTTATATTTTTCAAAAAGCTTTTCTGTTCCTCAGACATGGCAATGAGATTTCATACTTGCAAGTTTTTATCCACCTGTGAGGTTGAGCCTTTCAAAACAAACTCTGGCAGATGCACGGAATATATATATATATATTTTTAGATGCACGGAATATTAACTCCAGTAAGTGAGCCCTCGGTTTTTGGTCCTCCCCCACCATCAGGCCACCTTTGAACTGCTAACCCATTGATAAGAACCTGATGGGAAAGTCGAGTTCCCCTGATTTTCAGATGGGGAAAGTGGAGCAGAGTTTGCAAGTTCTAGATTGTGCTTTTTTCTCTGAACAGCTAGGAACAACAGTAACAACACACCACCCCATACTTGCATCTTAAAGAAGAAACTTTGTAATTGTCTTGGGGCTCTCTCTCTCTCTCTCAAAACTGAACACCCTCAACAACAGGAGCCAATATTTGGTTCTGCAGAGCTTTCAAGTCCCAGACACAATTCTGCAGGAAAGTTCATCATCCAAACTCTCGCCAAGAGTGACCAACAGATGGAGAAGCTTGCGAGCAGAAGACTGGGGATCGGAGAGGAGAAGGGGGGACGATGTGACAGGAGGTGGGGGTGATCCCTCCCTTCCCTGCGTCCAGGAGCCATTCAAGGGAGTCTGTCCAACAGCCACGCGCCGGAAGAATGCGGCGGGAAGGGATGGCAGCCTGCGCCCCGGGGCCATCTCTAGGTCCTCCCAAATCTACTTACTTGTTCCGAAGTGTCATCCCGGGTTCTCGCGTCTTCCAGAGACCCCGCGCAGAGCGGCAGCCCCAAGCACAGCCCTAGCAGCAGGAGCATGGCGGGGGCGAGAGCGCGTTGGTGGCACTGGGACGAGGCGGGCCGCGCGCAGGGGACAGCTCCGGGGCGCCGTGGCTGCAGACGTGCTCCGCCCCCCTCCGGGCCCCGCCCCCGCGCGCCCCGCCCCCGGCCCGCCCCGCGTCCACCCGGGGCCCAGTTGAGGCCCTCCTGCCCCAGGGAGGGGCCCCGCAGGCCAGCCTCACCGCGAGCCCGGCTCGCCCCCGGGGCTCCTCTGCGGCCCGCCCTTCAGCTCCGCCCTCCTCGCCCCATTTCCCTCAGTCGCCTTCTGCCGCCACCTTCAGGGCTTGGGACACCTGCCACCCGACCCCCAAATCTTTCTCTCCTGCAAAGTGTGAAATGCTTCTTCCCGGACTAGCTTAAGTTCCTGTGGCAGGAGGATACGGGAGTAGCCCACCACCCCCTCACCTGCTCTATATACCACTCCCCCACCTGCTGTGGATACCACCACATCCCCTCACCTGCTATAAATACTACCCCTTGCCTGCTGTATATACCAATACCCCCCATCTGTTCTATATACAACTCCCAACCCGCTATATATACCCCCTGCCCTCACCTGCTATATATACCACCCCCAACTGTTCTATATACCACTCCACCTGCTGTGTATGCCATCCCCTGCCCTCACCTGCTGTATATACTACCACCACCACTCCCCACCTGCCAGCATAAAGCCAACATGAGACCTTCTTACTTCTGCCCAGGGAGCAGTACATGCTTCTTGGCATCCTGCATTGAAGCTTAGAAGCCAAATCAAGGGATGCTAATTAGTAGTTTAATGCAGAAAGTACCAGCAAAGTTGTCCCCTTTTATGCAGTTCTGGCTTAAGGGGGCAGAAAAGGAGAGGCTGGAATGGAACTGCGTAGCGTATTTCTAAGTGAATATCACTGTGTGTGTTAGTTACAAACTATTGGTGGTGATTTCTGTTCTGCCATAAGAATTATTATCTGCCAACTCTCCACACGCGGGCTTTCACACCTTGTGTCATTTTTTATCTGCTAGACGCACAGTGTAGCTAGAGCCACTTGTTTATTTCAACTTTCAAAAGCCAGTCGCTTTGTCAAAGATGTTTTCTCTGTCTCTATAAAAACTGCATCTAAATCCATGAGCTGAATGATAGTGAGAGACTGGCAACAACCTTGATGGCCAAGAACAGGGAAGTGGCTAATTCAAATGATGGAACATCCATCCTCTGGAATATTAGGCAGCCGTTAGATAAGAATCACAAGGTCTGTGGAAACATGAAAAATGTTTACAGTGTAATCTAGAGGAAAAAATCAGATTACATAACCATATCAACAGTATAAGGTAAAAATACAGACACATGGACATAAGAACTAGGGAAAAAAACATGAAAAATGAAAAGAATGGGTGGTTAGTTTACGGTGATATCTCTTAAAATATTTTATTTACTCTTATTGAAATGCTGTTTGTTCAACAAAGACATTAAGAAAGGAGGGAGAAACAGGTTGCCATTGTAAAAGAAAGGAAAGAAAATCATTGTCATTAGCAGTTAATCATTTCCAAGCCTAACCACTAGCTGAAATACACTCAACCAACAAGAAGCAACAGTAGCTGGTCCAGCGAGGTTTTACAACAAAACCACCAGTAACAGAGAACTCTGAAGCAGGTCAAAGGATTTTTATTTTCAGTTCTTCGACATAATCTAACCATGAGGTTGCCAATGTACCCCGTACCCAGGCTGACTCTGAAACTTGGCGGCATACGAATCATGTACACACCCTCTCCTCATTTCTAACTAAGGAGGATAGTCCCCAATCTTCTGGAATCAAAGCATGCCTGTTCCCCCCACCCCCCTTAAAGGAAATACCTACTTGTGAACTGAAAGTTGAATTGGAACAAAGCTGGGTTTTTTGAAAGGGGACCACAGAACTGGGATCCTGTCTTTGTCTTCCCCTTCCTACTGTTTCCCCTCTGTGTCTCAACTCTTTTTGGCCTTCAGTCTGCTCTTTTCCCAAATCTGTCCCAACTGGTTTCTGCAGGGGTCCAAGGTCAAGAAAAAGGAGTTTTCCTTTCTTCATCTTGTAGGACTCTGCAATTCTACTGTAGGCCATGGGGCTGGGGCTTATGATGTTCATTTTGAGGACATCTTTACCAATTGGATCAGCAATTCCTTGAGCAAAAGCATCTCCCACAACTTCTAGCACTGTGCTAAATATATGGTTAGCACTTAACGAACATCTGATGCAGGGAATTAGGAGACGGGAGGCCTGGGGGTGGGAGCCTGAGCTGGCTGTGCTGAGGACAAGGAGGCCTGGGCTGTAGTCCCAACCTGGTCACTATCTAGCTACATGGTTTGGGAGAGTTTCTGAAATTCCCAGTATTGGCAAACGATAATACAGGTCAGAGAGGCCCTCTGTGCCAGCTCTTGGTAGGAAACGGCTCCCCGAGTAACTGAAGGGTGGGCCAAGGGTCCCAAAATTTTAGCATCAGACTCATTAGAGTTAGGGGCTTTATCCTGCTCTTCTACTTGAGACTGCCAACCGATGGCTAAGCTAGCCAAGGCAGAGACTGAAGAGGAAAAGGTGGGTTGTTGTCCATTTATTTTCTTTTTCTCTCCCTTGAGTTTGTACCCTGAAGCCCCAGGTTCCTCTGTCTAGCTGTTCTGAGATTCAAGCCCTCCCCAAGTCCTCTGGGCTCCCCCTTCGGTCCCTCCTTTACTCCATTCTCCTTTTTGAGTGTCTATGAGGCCATTGTTCTAATCTGGGCCAGTTACTTCTTCCTTCCCTGGTCTCACATTTTTATCTACTTTTATGGCCTTGTGGTTCTCTGGGACCCCTGACAACTTTGCATAATTGCTACAGTTTCTTACAACTTTGGCTTTTTTTTTTTTTTTCCCCTCAATCAAAAGGCCTAAGGAGGAAATGGACTTCGGCTCCATATATCTCAGGAGCCCGGGATATCTTGGGAGTCTAGTTACACCCACTTTTTACCTATTTTACCAACCACTGATTTTTATCCAGGGAGAAGATTTGCAGAAGTAGAAATAGAGAATGCAGTTTTCTAATTTCTTCTGATAATGATTTGCTGAAGTTATCAACTAATCACAAAGTGTAATACATCATATTTTATTTTAATATGGTTTCCTAAACAGCCTCTTGCTCTCTCTTGACCCTTGCTTTTCATGGATTCCTCTCCTTTCTGGAATGCCTCCCATTGGCTCCCCACCCAATCCTGCAAATGTCACTTCCTCCATGGTCCTGGTCAAGTAGGTAAGTGCTATTCATACCTCTGATGGAGCCCTCATCTCTGTGTTTACATGTCTTTCTCACTAAACCAAGACCCAATGAAGGACAGGTTGCATGTTTTATTCATCTTTAGATGCTTTGTCAGCATCCAGTATGTCATCCAAGCTTGAGAAATATTTAATGAATAAATAAGGAAAACTCAGAATGGTATGCTTTCCATATTGCGCATTTCACTGAAAATTTGTATAACACCAGCCTGCGTGACTGGACGCAAGACCACAGAGTACTGACCTCTCTGGAGGTAAATATTTTCAAAGAAAAACATAATATTGACTCCTCAATTGCCAAAAACATTTTAACCCATAATTATCTATCTTTGTAAGAGTTATTACAAGAACTGGGGGAGGGCGCCTGGGTGGCTCAGTTCGTTAAGCGACTGCCTTCAGCTCAGGTCATGATCCTGGAGTCCTGGGATCGAGTCCCGCATCGGGCTCCCTGCTCAGCGGGGAGTCTGCTTCTCCCTCTGGCCTTCCTCCCTCTCATGCTCTCTGTCTCTCATTCTCTCTCTCTCAAATAAATAAATAAAATCTTTAAAAAAAAAAAAGAACTGGGGGAAAACAAGTGAATTTTAGACCCTCAATATAATACTCTATGGGATGCTCAATCTTCTCTCAGACTATTGAATTCCTGATAGACTTGAATTCTACATGGTGAGGGAAGCAAGTTCTAATCCAACAATTCCCCACTCTTACCTCTATTTTTCTATCCCAGACACCCTTGCTCCTTCAAGGATCTCCCCTCAAAAAATCCGCTTTCAGAGACTGCTACAATCTGTCTCCAAACACACACATAAGAAGCATCTCCCTCCCTTCAAAAATTTTAAGGTCTGTATGTAGTAATATAATTTTAATATTCCCTAGGTCCTCAGAAGGCACAATTAGCACTAATCTTGCCTTATTTTCTCTTGCCAGTTCTTCACTGTTTGGTATTAGCTGTAGGTGGGGTCTTTATCTTTATCTTTATCTTCTATATCTTTATCTTCTATATCTGCATTAATGTGTGATTCAAAGCCAGCAAACAATTCTAGAGAAATATTTGTCAGCTGAACAATGCTTTGTCCCTGTAGAAAAGCTTGTTAAACAGTGAACAATCTCAGTGCAAAGTTAAGAATCATTTTTATTTTCTTTTGGAAGGATTCCTAGAGAAACAAGTGGCATCCTAATTTTCTGGGCTTTAACGTGGGACCACAGAAGACTTGGAATAGCACAGAGGATCCACTGATGCCATCACGGAGATGGACATTCAGTTCAACCTGCCTCGGTGCCCGATATTAATGCCCCATCCTACTACTGTCTCTGACTCCAGGGCACGAAGACAGAAGCCAGCGAAACTGCAGTTGATCTACAGGGTGTGTTTCCTCCCTGAAGACTTGCCGGATCCTTTCCAGACAGATGTTGGGAGATGTCCAGAGAACTTTCACTGAAAGCCACAGGTGTGTCTTTGGAAGGCTCTTGGCTAAAACAAAACAGTGTTGGTTTTGTGGTTGATGCTGAGAGATATATTGTACTCCATGAATCAGACCTAAAAACAGAGCTGTCATCAAGTTCTTTCAGTGGTGCTCATGGGGTTGTTGCCTGCTGGCAAGCAAGAAAGCCTCCTGTCTATGTAACATATGCACCAGGTTTGGATCTCACAGGTGCGGACTTGCTGAACAAAAATATGTAATCCTTTCTTCCTTACATCTCAAGGTTTTCCCATACTGAGTTCCCATTCTCTTGCCAATTCATGATAAGTCATCAATATGGGTTTTTTAAAATTAAATTATTTAAATAATTTAATAATTAAATTAAATTATTATTTTT